TAAAGTTCCTCTGCGATGGGGTGGCAATGTCCATCTGTCATCAGAGCCAGCCCCTGATCCTATCAGCATATTACTGTATTATTGAGCTGGAGATTGAGGGACAGGCTTTAATAGCAACGATGGTATCAGGGGTCCAGCATTAAACTCCAGGAAGGGCCACGGCTTTGTGAGCTCTGAGGCAGCAATTGCATGCCAAAAAATCCTTCAGGATAGAAGTATTTTCGTCCCCACAGGAAACTGACACAGGTTCATACACAAATGTTGTCAATGGGGAGGCATAAGCCCATGTTTGCCAAGTACCAGCCTTTGAAACAGCCCAGGAGAGCACTCTTGTGCTTGGGCACCCAAACCTTGGTTCATGGGAGAGCCCCAGCAGCACAGGGCATGGGCAGAGCCCTTGGACAGGCAGCTCCTCACCTCCTGGACATCACCCCAGAGCAGACAGGGTTTTGTGAAAGCTGTAGCAGTGGTGTACTCACAGCACCCAGCCAGGTGGTATTATTGGCCTGGACATGTAGCTATAATACATGAAATAGAAAGGACCAAGCTTAAACTACCATGACATGTCCTGGCTTTGCACAGCGTCTGCTACTCACCCCAGCCTCTGCAAAGCTGGAGTGAGGAGCTCAGAGAGTAAAGGTAAAGGGCCAGAGAGCCTTGGGAAGAACATAGATTCCATAGTCCAATTGCACCAGCCAAGCTGGAGCAGGGCTGGACACAAGGACGGAAAGAGGAACCTCAGCAGCTACCAAAGCCCACATGCCAGCCTGCAGCTCACCATCCACAGCTGCAGGGAAGGCTCAGTGTGGTGCAGAGCCCCTCTGCAGCTCTCCATGCAAGTGTTGGTCCTGTTTCAGCAACGGGTGCTCCTGGAGACCTGTGTGTCTGGCTGCCTCTTCCAGCACTGGCTTTGCTCCCTGCTGGGCTCACACCTTGCTGGTCCCACTGAGCTGTTTGAGCTTGGAGGCCCCAGTGCCTCCTACACGGCACCACCGAGCTGCAGGAGCCTGGCTGGAACCAGCAGGAGAGTCTCTGGCACAGAGGATGGATGCTGGGAGGCTGAGCCACAGCACATTGGTTTGGACAGGAGCAGAGGGGAAGCCTCACATTGCCCTCCCTGGGGCTTGCCAGCTCCTGGCTGGGATGGAGCTGATGCCTGGGGCATCCAGGATCCAGCACCCCAGGAAGGACTGCTTGATCCCTGCCAGCTCACACCAGTGCCATGTGCCAGCAACAACTGCTGGAAAGGCAAAACAAACAGGAGCCAAGGGAGAGAGCTGAGACGAGAGGCACTTCTGTTAGAGGTGTGATGGGGAACAAATCCCTGCACTGAGCAGGCTCTAAGGAGCATCCTGCTGGGAGCTATGCAGGAGCAGCAGGGCAGGGAGGAGACGCTCCTGCTCCAGGGGGTGAGGAGAAAGGGGCCCCAGCATTAACTGGTGTTAGCTGGAAAAGAAAGGCTGACGTGTCCCCCCTGACCCCTCGTGTGCCTCCTCCACACAGTAGTGGCAGCAGCTTGCCATTGTTACTCCTGGGGAGATTCCAGTTGGACACAAGAGGAAAATTCTTCACAATAAGATCGATCAGCCATAGGAATAACCACCCCAGGGGACTCCCCAGTGTCAGGCACTTCTAAGATTCAACTGGGACATTTAATCTAGGTCACGCTTTGCCTAGAAAGGTGGGACCAGATGATCCTTGAGGTCCCTTCCAACCCTGTGTTCTGATTTACACACTACACACTGAAGTCCCTGTTAGAGGTGATGGCTCATATGCTGCACCCTGTAATTAATTTGCCTTTTCCTGCTGGAGAAGAGCATCTCTGATTGATTGGGTCCAAGCAGAAAGGGCAGCTGCTCCCCAGCCTGAGCGGTGGGCAGAGGGGCTGGCTATGGGGTTCAGCTTCCATACCAGTAATGCCAGGGAGGAGAGATTCCCTGTGCACCCAGCTGTGACCTGGTCCCTGCCCACCACAGCTCTGGCCATCACGTACCACCCAGCTATAGGGTCACCCCACACTGGTCACACGTGGGTATGGTGTGGGACTTCTAGGAGTCAAATGGAGGTGCTGGAGATGAAGCAACAGGCCAGTGAGGGGGAGAGAGCCGAAAACATGGGGGTCGTAGGGACAAGTGGGTCTCACCACTTGCTGTACCACCTACCAGGGCTTCACAGCCCCCCATGGGACCCCAGCCCTCCCCTCCAGGCACTGCTCATGGGCTGGTTTGATCCCAGAGCATTCACCAGCTGCAGGTCAGCGCTGTGAAAGATTCATACAAAGCCCCCTTCTCGCACAGCAACTCCAACCATTGCCCCAGGCACCTTCTCTCTGCTGAGCTAACCTAAATAACCCTGTATCTTCAGCTGCTCCCCTCCTCTTCCAGCTCATTATGGCTTTTGGAGAACACTGCTCCCACCAAACCCAACCAACTCACCATTAACCTCTTTCCACGCCAAGAACTGGCTGTTACTTTTTGCCTCCAATTCTCACCTCAAACAGCTCCAGGAGGACTCTACCCCTCACCCTTGAGGTGACTAAGTTTCTTTAATAGCCTCTTATGAGGGATTTTATCAAAGGCCTTTTGAAAGCTAAATAAAATTCTTGTATTTTTGCTTTCCCCAGGATTTTGTTAGCACATTTAAAGGCTCCTGACAGGCTGAGGCTGAGGAAGGTTTTGGTTTTTAAGATTATTTCCTGCTCCTACGCAGCAAAGCTCTCACTTTGCCTCCCAAATTGGGCCACCAAGCACGCACAGCTCTGCTTGGGTTCCCTCGGGCAGATCCTGTTGAATTTCCACCTGCTCCTGGCAGGACACTTGCCTCAGCGCTGCGTGATCCCACTGCGGTGGGCAGGTAAAGCTGTGAGCTTTGGGGAAGGAGCCCTGTGCTGCTGCTGTGCTTGTCCTGCATGTGGGCAATCCCATCGCCTCCTGTTCTGTGCAGGGCTCCAGGGCTCAGGTCACCCCACGGATTCACAGGCTACAGGTCAGCTCAGCCCTGCCCAAACCAAGCAGGGAACACTGCTGGGCCACAACAGGGTAGTCCAAGGCAGAGTTTCGTTCACAGAATCCCAGACTGGTTTGGGTTGAAGGGACCTTAAAGCTCATCCAGTTCCAACCCCCTGCCACAGGCAGGGACACCTTCCACTAGAGCAGGTTGCTCCAACCCCTGTGTCCAACCTGGCCTTGAACACTGCCAGGGATGGGGCAGCCACAGCTTCTCTGGGCACCCTGTGCCAGCGCCTCAGCACCCTCACAGGGAAGAACTTCTGCCTAATGTCTAATCTAAATCTCCCCTCGGTCAGTTTAAAGCCATTCTTTTTCCACAAGAAGCATAGAATGCATAAGAAATAAATTGCATTGGCAGGGGGAAGTGAGTCCATGGTACAAGTGTGCTGAACTTTCTCTCCCTTCCCTCTTCCCACCAACCCACCTCCCTCCCTTGGGTCTCAGGCAGGGACAGAACCTGAGTTTGGCAGACTCTAGGTCTGAAACTGAAATAGAAAGCACTGCTCTCTCTACGTACAGGCCCACCACCACTTAGCTATGTGGCCACAGGAGGTCATCTACAAAGCACGTCCAAGGCAGCATCTGAGGATTAAGCCCTCCCACATCCACTCTCCCACTGCTCCCTCCTAGCGCCTGTATGAACACAGGAGTCAGGCTGCAGCCACTACCAGCCTTTGACCAGAGCTACAGAGCAGCTTAGGAGAAACACTGAAGCTGCTGCTCCTTACCTCATCTGGACGAGTTTCCCCTACAAGAGTGGAATGAAAAGCTGCTTTGGATCTTCAGAGATGTCCTGAGTCAATGCCCGAGATAGCAGCTGTGGTTTGCTCCCAATTGGAGCTCACTTGGCCACCATCTCCAATGGGGACAGGTCTGGACCAAGGGGGAATCCTCAGCAGAGCAGGATTCAGGCCTCTGCATAGCACTGGAGTGAGACATCCCAGGAGACCCTTCTCCAGTCATGATGGAAATTTTCCTGTAGGTAGCTTGGCTCTGGCCATCTGTAAATGCTCTGCAACACATCTACCAAGAATGGGCCTCAAGCCTCTTCCAGGAATCATGCAGGGAGAGGGAAGGAGCTGCCAGGCTGAGCTGAAGCAGAAGTCTTTTTCTCCAGGCCCTCTTTCAGTTTGTTTTCAAGCAGAGCAGTGAATAGCTCTGCCCAGACCTGCCCTGTCTGCCCAAGTCTTGAGCCAAGACATAGCTCCTCCAGCTCCCAAGTGCCAGCACATCCTCAGGCCACCCCACACTGAGACAATACAGGGATGCATGAAACCCTCCTCACCACACAAGGGAATCCCGTTTTTCAGGCTGCTCTCTTGTCAGATCAGGGATGTGGTTGGCTCAGGGCAGGTTTTAGAGCCTCATTAACACTCTGCAATGAGGCCTGGCAGCAGCTGATTTGATTTAAGGTTCATTTCCAGGCTGTGATTTAAGAGAAGATTTGCTTAATGTTCTCTAACAGACTCTTCTGACTGGGAGCTTGAGTGCTGCCTAATGACAGCCTTATTTATTGTAATGTCTTTGCAGGGCAGGATCCAGAGGAGCCAGGCAGGTGCTCAGGCAGCAGGGGAAGCATCCCTCACTGCAGAGTGTTAACACAGGGATGTGCATTCCTCTATCCAGAACAGCCAGACACTGCACCCCTTCTCTGCTTTGAGAGGCCAGCAAGACAGACCCCTCTCTGCTTGCCTGAGATACACAGTGCTGCATCTCCACATACCTTTTTAAGCAGGACAAGAGACATGCTTCTCTCTCCCCCTGCTGCAATACTTGAGTGATGGGAAACACAGAAGTGCCTGCTCATCTCCAGACTGATTAAAAGGCAATTTGCAATCAAGACTCCACCATGCTCCCTCCCTGGCTCCCAGTTTTGGGCTTTCAACTCAAAGGCTGAGCCTGCTTTCTTCCTTGAGCTTCTGATGTACCTGACCCCAAGGCCAAACACAGAGACAGCATCACACAAATGAAGACAGTAGGTCGAGCAAGGGTTTGTCATATTTTAATGACATTGATCTTTGGTGTTTCCCTCGTCAGCACTCACGCTCTCCCCGCCCTTCCTCCACAAGCCTGCTAGGGATGGAGAGTTACAAACGAAAAGGAAAATCACATTTGAGACTAAAAACAAAATATCAGAGCCTGGAATTCTCCACTAGAAACTACATGTACAAGGTCAAGATTTCACATGCAACACCTTACATCACAGACCCATACCTCACACCCTGACCTGGAGCTGAGAGACATTTCCTGCCCCCTTGCCAAGGAGGTGCAGCTCAGTCCTGACACCATAAAACCACTGGGATGGCTCATTCATGTTAATATTGGCACAGTTTAGAACATCCTTGCGTGAACCGCATCCTGACTAGAGAGCAGTAGCCCTTGTCCCTCTATCCATCTATACAGCAGCTCTGCTTAGGTTCCTGCCAAGTACTAAACTAACTCTCTAAAAAGGGAAGATCCCCCACCTGTGAGCAGGTCCTGAGCCATGCAGGTTATGGCAAAGCCCAGTTCTTCCCAGAAAACACCACAGTGCAGACAGGAGAAGTCTCAGAACACCACACTGGGGGGGAAGCAGCGCTGTGCCATGGAGTGTGGCTGTGGCCTGGAAGACTCCTCCACTCCAGCAAGGAGCTGGAGCATCACGCCCAGGTTTGCCCAGTAGGACTGCCTGTCTCCAGAAGGATGCTGCAGGCCCCCTTTCCTTTCTCCACTCTACTGATCAGCCCCTGGGCATAAAAGGGCAGGAAAAGGAAAGGAAAGAAGCTTTGGAGAGGATGACACCGACCAAACTGCAGGGTTAGGGCTGAGCTCAGGGGACCCCAAGGGGCTTCAAAGTCTGCATGATGTGCAGCCAGTACAGTTCATATTCCTGTTAATTCTTCAGCAGTGGGAATGTTGGAAGTTAAGTACGCTTTCTTCCCCGTGGCTTCCCTTGCAGTCCTTATTCTTCCCCCACTCACCCAGGACAGAGAAGCCCTCTGAACCACCAGCATCCTGTCAGAGCCACATGTTCCTACTCTTCCAGCTCCTGGCCAGCTGTGAGGTACAGGTCTCTGCTGAGCAGTACAAGGGTAGCACCAACACACAACTCAATCTCTACCTGTTCCGCGACTCCCCACTGGTGCTGTCATTACTATAGAAGTTGGTACTGTCAGGAAGATGGTTATTATTAGTTAGGTCACTGTATTCAATTGGTCCCTCAGTGTCCATGGAGGACTGGGCCTGCTCTGGCAGGTCCAGGTCACCAGCGCTTTGTCCTTCACTCCCACCAGGGGCTGTCCGCGGGCTCAGACCATGCTCCGAGAGCTGCATAGACTCTGAAAGGATCCGTCCCTCCAGCTCAGCTGCCATCTGCTGTGAGGTGGACTGCTGTGCTGATGTGCCCTCAGCTCCGGTGGACTCTGCACCGGTCTGAGAGCTGCGGTGGATCCGGTGGCTCACGATGATGTTGTTGCCAAAGCCACCCATTGAGGCCATGGTGGTGCTCTGCTCCCGCTGGACCACGGCAGTCATGCCACCTTCTGTCATCAGCCTTTGGATCCTACTCAGGGCATCCTCCCCACTGGCCCCATAGTCTGGACCTTCACCTGCAAGAGAAAGCAGAAGCAACTTGGATGTACAAGGCAAGCTACAACACAAAGAGAAAGCAATGCTGGGTAGATGCACCACACGGTGCACATGTGCTGCAATAGAAGATAAGGTTTGTTCCAGAGCGAGCCCAACATTTTATTTCCACAACTTTTGGTGAGTGCCAAAGGCACTAAACTCTGTCAAGAAGATCTTGGCCAATCCCACAGGTATCCCTCACAGACCTGCATGTCTGGAGAAGCAGCTCTTATCTAGCCATAGAGGTGGGGAAAAACAGGAGTCAGAGGCAGTGTGTTTTCTTACAGTGCAGAGACAGCCCAGCCAGTCCTCCAGGGGCAGGAAGAAAAACCTCAGTTTGCCCTGCAATAAGCCAAACATCTCACCACAATGTTAAAGGGTCCTGTGGCCTTTCCTACTTCACCTGTTTGAGAATACCCCAGGCATTACATGATGGCCATCTCCTTCCTATCAAAGAGGACACAGGCCAGGACCAGACAGCAGCTACAGAACATGGTCTGTGCCATATGCCACTGATCAAGGAAAGATCAAGTATGTAGGCTCCTGCTGCCCTTGACTGGTATCTTTTGGGAATGCAAAAAACAACTTTCAAGATCTATAGTTCTTTGTCTATCTTTGAACTCTCCCTCCACAGTCAGGCTGTACTGAGCTCTGAGGAACCACTGCCAGATGCCTTGGTTGCTTAAGATTACTTTGAAGAAGAACAAAATCTCACAGAAAAATAGTCCATGTCTGAAATGAAATCCCCATGTCAGGAAAGACCAACCCAGTTCTGTTTCCCAGCATCCTCCTTCTGCTACAAACCCTACCCAGCCCATTTGGGGAAAACAATCTGTAACCATAAACTGCTAGAACCATTCCACAGTGGGATCCTGATGATTATTAAAGAGATAAATCTCACTCCCAGTTCCATGTTGCTATTGCAGAGCTGATTAGATGAGAGGAGAAAGCCATAAGCTCTCCTGGCACCAAGGAGATGAACACAAACGTCAACAAGGCTGGATGTAGGCAGGAGTTAAAACACAATAGAAACCAAAACGCCACAGTGACTAGGAAGGCAAAACTGACTGGGGCTGTGGGGTGGAGATCATGTATCCAACATGAGAACTGGGGTATTCAGCACAGTCTACACCATGCCACTGTAGAGGATAGTCAGAGCTGTTAAGATGTTGTGCAGCCAGTCAGTGACAGCTTATTCCCTTTCCTCATGGGCCAAGTGGCAGTTGTATCAAACACCCAGCTTCTTCCACCAGAGGGTATGGCTAATTCCATCTTCAAGCAAGGCTGCTGACATACTGCCCTGCTATAGAAATACTGTGGATATTAAGGGCAAATTTAATTCTCACGAGTAGAGTAAGTCCCTTTCTGCTAGGAAGTTAGTAAGCCTGCTCTATCCACTATACATACAGCAATTACAGAGCTCCTTGGTTAGAGCATCAGTGGGACTACAGAGGCACCAGTAACCACATGAGAATCTGGAGCAGAGCCTAGATGAGTGAGCACAAATACCCCCAGGCAGAGCCTGACCCAGAACTCTAGCAGGGAAATCCTGTTCAGGATGTGACTGATGCATGAACTAGGAGCCTGGCTGACCTGCACAAAGACTGAGAACAGAGGCAGCTATTAGCCTGGAAACTTCAGTGTGAAAAACATGCATGCCAGGGGATACTGAAGCATTAATCAGAGCAGAAGTAAGTGGAAGGTTTGAGACGCATGGTTTTGGATTCAGTCATCGCTTCCTTCTGAGGGCATAGGTGTAAGCACTTTGTTACCAACCATCTGGCCAGGCCAGAGAGAAAGCTTGAGAAAGCCAAGATGTGCAACCTGGCTTAGAGACAATCCAGCCAGCCTTATCTACACAAGTCCTGAAAGAGCAGGTACCGTGCTCTTGACAGATCATTCACTATAAACCAGTCCAATACAGGAGCACTGGAACAGCGAGTCAGTAGAGCACAGCACAGCACCCCCTGCTCTTCTCTGCCCCTTAATTACCACATGCCAAGGCTGAACTTACAGTTGAGGCAGCTGCTTGCTGAGAAAACAGGCACGGGCTGATGCCACAGCAGAAATCAGCAAGTCATGAACCTTCAGATGAGAAGCACGGAGATACAGCAGTGTTGGAAATTCCAGAAAGACCATCCAAGCAGCAAAAAGCACCTCTGCTTCAGGGGTTGTCCTCCCCTTCCCCCCACTGCATTTTTTGACAATGCCTTTGGCTGCCTGGTTCAGAGCTGAGCTTCCTGTGTGACGTTCCCTGAGCTGAGCTACAGCACAGCTTCACACAGAGCCCGTTTCTACTGCCTGGTGACTCCCACACGTGTTCCTTCACCAGGCTGCCAGTGCAGACTGCGGTAGTACTCAGTGCAAGTGAAATAAGCTGACTTCCATTTGGTGGAAGTTCAGAGTGTGCGCACGGGCACCTACCCAGAACAGCAGCAACGCTGTGAACCCCACACCTCAGACTGCTGGAAGTTTCAACTTGCTGCAGTGGCCAAACCCCACTCCCTGCACCACCAGCTAAACAAAACCAGAACAGAGAGAAACCCCACACTCATGACACTTCTGGCAGACTCCAGAGGGTTTAGGCATATTTAGAGCATGAACCTGACTTGAGCAGGCCAAGTGACAGCACATCTAATTCTCTGTATGGAGAGAGCAATTCCTCTTCTCTCATTTTACGCTCAAAACTAAATTCTGAAGTCACAGGCTCTGTAAAATCCTTTATCTTAAGCTCACATCCTTCTAAGCCTTTTCTGACCCTCTAGGAGTCAGAAACATATAAAAACCTCATAGTATACTACAGACAAAATTTAGAGAACTGAGCTAACCAGCTCCAGTGTGTGAAGTGCCATCGTGTGAGGTACCACTGTAAGCATAACACTTCCCAAATCGCTCTCCGCCTAGGCTGTCCCTCTACCAGAATCCATCACAGAGAAGGAAGCAATCTTGAAACACAGTCTTATCTTTCCCTGGACAGGGACACAAGTTCTGTGCCTGACAGGACATAAAAGCATCACCCGTGTTTCTCTTTGCAATGCAAGTATTAGTGTTGTGTCCCCAGTGCTGTGTTCCCACAAACCTTTTCTGTTCTAACTGAAGTGACCTTTCCAGAGGTCCAAAGCCCCATCTATCCCAAAGACAGACACAAAACATTGCTCTTGAGATCTAGCTGACTGGCTCCAACATTTAACAAAATACTCCCTAGCTAATGCATTTGTCTTCAGAAGTCCTCTTCCATCCTACTCCCGCAAGACTAGAGTTTGGCACAGAAGACCACAAAGCTGAAAGATCTGGCATACTTTCAATGGAGCTGTACATAAGGCAGGAGCATTTCCACTCTTAAATGAAGCGGTCTCTGAAGTAGTTATGGAATTACAACTTGTTTATCTCTGGGCATAGTCAGCACACACCTGATAAAGAGCAAAGCCCACAGAAGCAGAGATGAGATCAGGCTGTGGGATATACCAACACTGCTCTTGAATTTTTGCCTATTTTCAGCTTTCCTCTTTCTAAACCCAGGAGTAGTTAGTAGCCATGCTTGCAAACAAAGCTTCAAAATTAGAACTAAGAGTAAGCACTGCAGAGATATGCAAGTCTTCAGAGAACATGGAATAATAGCTTGGAGGTGTGAGCTGACCCACTAATTCAGATGCTCAAAGATAAAAATATCACCATTTTTAAATGAATTCATTCCTGCATAAGAATAGGAAAGGGAGTGTCAGAGCACAGCATAACCAGCTATGAATACTCACATCTCCCTTAGTGCCAGAAGAAATACTACCAGTTACTTCTCTCCCCAACCAAGCCCAGAAGAGTGTTCACACTTCCTTTCTAAGGTAGCTAATTCAAGCAACTCCACAGAACTCAGAAAAGACACACCAGCTTTGACTTGTAGAAATTCTCTTAGCAGTATCTCACCTTGGTGATTTGTATGAGGGAAACTTATTTTTGTAATGAGAGTTTAAAAGTAGCCCCCATAATTTAATCCCAAGGGAGCCAGGTACTCGGAACAGCTCACACTGTAAAGGCTTGTGTAGTACATGCTTCTAGAACCTGATTCTATTTTTTAGGCAGTGCTTTTCAGAGGGCTTTTAAAGAGAATCTGAAATTTGCAGTTCTATAGTACATATGACACACATTTTACAGATGGATAGGCAGATGAAAGGCTAAGGGATCTACCCACATTTCTACTTGGAGAATAAAAGGCAGATCTGGAAGCTGATCCCTGGTGTCTCAATTCCCATTTCCACACTAATCGCACAAAAGTAACATCACATTTGACATCACAGCATTGCAAAAACATAATCAGCTAATGTAAAACAACATGTTTCTCTTTAGCATTCTTGAGGCTTGGCTGGGGACAGGGTATTCTTGCCCATGCAACCCCCTGACACATGTTCCTAATGTCTCAGATTAAATAAGTTACATCACATGCAGGCACACTGAATCTGCATCCTTTGGCATCCTCAGGATGCTTTGCTTATACCAGGCAAGTTTCACTTGCATGTGCTGTCTTTTCAGTACCAAGAGTTTGAACAGACTGAAGCCCACAAACCCAAGCCTTCATTTTACAACTCTTTTCCCTCTCAAAAGTATCTGCTGCAACCTCTGAAAGCAGCTGGATGTGATGGAAATTTGTGCTGGCTGGTGAGAAACACTTCAAGCAAATAGGTTAAAATCTGTACATGGCATGACAGTAGTCAATATGCTGCTCCCCCAGAGAAAGGTGAAGCAGCAGTCCACTGACAGCAAGCCTTCAGATGGCTACAACTTCAGTAGTTCAAACATGTGCCTACTTGTACAATAAGCATTGAGCTAGCTAGAATGTTAAGCCCCAAAGACAATGCAGATGATAGGGAAGGAGATGACAACCGCCTTCCAGCTATTTCCATCAAGTTTCTTGTTTAAGTGTGGGGTATTTTTTCTTTTTAAACGACTGGATTACCTGAATGATGCATGGATATACTGTAAATAGCCAGGGGACAGCATGGGTGCACAATCAAACAAGTGCCCTGCAGCTCTGCAAAGGTCCCTCTCCCTCAGCCTGCAGCACCTTTGGCAGTTGCAGTCCATGACAGTTACTGCCACTTGCATCCTACTCCACGGATCCCACAGCCTGAGCAAGGGCAGCCACAGCCTGACTCAGCCTAGACCAGGAATTGCTATTTCTAAAGGTTAAAGCTTTAGGCTATTAAATCTCATTAGAATTTTCTGTTGTTTTTTAAGTGAGATTTAACTTGCCAGTCGACTACAGATCCTCCCCCGTCATCCCTGTCCATTTGCAAGGGAAACCATAGAATCACTCCCAACAGATTGTTTCTAATTAAGAGTGCCTCAAAGTTACAGCTCCATCACTATTTCCACCATGTCTGTCAGCTTAAAAAAATAGGAAACAGCTGAAACACTGTTTTAGACATTTCTTGATATCTCTCCTAGTTTTCTCTTAACTTCTTTGGTTTATGGGTGGCTTGGGAGCAGAGTTCACAAGGCAGCTATCAACTGCTGCAAACCAAAAAGATACAGACATGAGAGGGATTCACTTCTAATAAAGTCATTATATACTCATTCCTCCAAAGGAGGTAGAAAGATAATCAGAACAGCAAAGTCCCCGCAGAGCTTTGCATGAGAAAAGGAAACTATTTATACCCGCACAGAGCTTAATTAGATTTCTGATGCAATTCTGCATACTTCTTTTTTGTACAGTAAGCACATATCTGCAAGAAATGCCCTGAGCCAGAATTCCCCACAGCAGCGGGGCTGTCAGGACACAGGACAGAAACCCACTCTTGGGGGTAGCACTACCCTTTCTTTTTCTTTCTTTTTTTAAACATTAAAGGTTTTTGTTCTTTTTTTCCCCTTCACGGTGAGGTGATAACTAAAACACTTTCCTTTACATTACTCTGATTCACATCTGATTTATCCATTCTGCTGCTGCTAATGCTGCTAAGCCTTTACGTAGTGATTTACATCTTTAAAGCCCCATACAAAACACTAATTAATCTTCACAGCCCCTGGTGTACTGTGCTATGGGAAGATTTATTCCCATTTGATAGATGATTAATAATTTGCCTTAGGTCACACACCAAGTTAGTTGTAGCACATTTTTGCTCTTTTTTCCTTTGTGTCCCTGACACCTAGATCCTGCTATTAGGAAATACTGTTTCAACAGATGAGCTGTGGTAGATGCAGTGGGCAAATTAACCATCAGAAGAGCAGCATAGGATCTAATCTAGCCTGCATGAACACACTGGATGAGCATTACAGGAGTTTATGATGCTGGAAAAACAGTAATCTCAATGTCACAAGCAGTACAATGGGGCTCAAGTGTAATGTGAAGCATGCAGACTCTTGGATGAACCAGAGCACTGATGTCACAAGTCCCTGGCTAACTGGCTGAGATGCTGTTTAAAAGCAGCTGAAAATATGTCTTTCTGCTTCATAGGTCCTTGTGCTATTCCTCTGCCATGGATTATAGCTGGGTTTTTGGATCCCACACAATCTTTCCAACAGTTAATGCCTTGACAGCTCCCTGTTTTGAGCTGCTCTTGAGCCTTTGCTGTGGAATTTCCAGAGGATGTAACTGGCACAAGAACTGATCAACTACAGGTTAAGACTGCTTGGCTCATCTCCAGTGCATGTATCTGTCCTGGAATAACTCCTTTGCTCCTTACAAAAGAGACAGGAGTGTGACAGCCTATTTTGCAGGTGAGACCACTTGCAAGGGGACATGTGATAAGTCAGCATCTGAGACACAAATCGCATCAGATGTGGAACTTGCCAATCTTCTTCCAAGCAGAAAATGGAGACAAAGAGAAGTCTCTGTCCTAGGTTTGTTATCTACGTTCCTTTTCTTTCAAATGCTATGTTTTGCTTCTTTATAGAGATACCCTGCCTCAGGCACTGGTGAAGGACAACCCTTCCCCTTCTCATTAATGGTCTAGTTAAAACCCATGACCTAGTTCTAAAAATTGAAAGGTTAACTAGAAAGAATGAGATAATGAAACCTTTAGATGATTCAGAACAGCAGCAGAGAGAAGCAGCACTGGAGAATTCCACTGGTTTAACACAGCAGAGAAAGACTCCCAAGCCTCCAGCATCAGCCATCATGGCCTTGATGCAGGAAGGTCCCATAGAGTCCCTCATCCTCAGTCTGCATACCACATTCAGTGTATGCATACAACTTCTCACAAGTTCAGCATTAGTCCAGATATCCTGTGTTTCAGCCTTATTCACACACCCTTAGCTGTACTAACCGTCAGGAGAGGTTCATCTCAGCTCTGCTAAGGTAAGCACATGGGAAACACCATAGGTCAAGAAATAGACACTTTAACAGAAGAGAGTGAGATCAGAGTAAAACAAAGCCTTATTACACATGCTGGACGCTGCACAGCAGGAACTCTGGAAGAGTCACATGCCAAAAAGCATCTTTCCAAATGACAGAGCACAAGCAAGCATACTGGCACAAACAGGCATGTCATGGGCTGCTTCCCAAAGATAAGTGGGTTCACCATGAACCAACAACTTCAAAACTGTCTCCTCAATTTTCTCTGTCCTTCCTATGCATATACTGCTAAACTCCATCCTAGCCAAGCCTTCAGAATTAGATTCAAGCACAATGCTACAGTAAAGAGACAAGAAGCCGGGACAAAACCATCATGCTTTCAAAAGATCAGTGACTATCTTCATGTAGGAACTGCACATCAGCTGCTTCCAGCTCTTCATATACTGCTTAGTTTTCCTGGGCTGGAAAACACTAGAGACATTTCTGTATAGCTGAGCTGGACACTCATCAAAGTCTTCACTGATCAGACTAAACAGAATACTCATACCTGCTTTGTGAGAAGTGATTTACAGGATTTTACTTTGTGTCCAGGTGCTGAGTTTGTGAAGCCTGCACAGGTTTTAGATGCAGAGGTTGAAGGACCAAGCTAAACTAACAGAGAGGCAGAAAGGATAATTCTTAACAGTTTGCAGCTTTATGGATGGTTAGAGTTCAGGAGATTTGAGGAGTGATGCCAGTACAGCTGATTCTACAGAGACACAAAGTTCTGGGGAAGAGTTCATTTTGCCTTCTAAAAGCATGAAAAAAAGACAACTTCACCATTAATATGGACAGAGATTCACCCTCCTGATCATCTTGGCCTAGCTACAGGCAAATTAGGCTGGAGAAATGTTTGCTGAAGAGAAAACAGGAGTGTCCCAATCACAGAATGGTTAGGGTTGAAAAGGACCTTAAGATCATCTAGTTCCAACCCCAAATGCACAAATGAATTGGTAAGATGTGGAACCTATATGGAACCTCTTTGTTCACCAAAGTAAGCTCTGTCAGATAAATCACTGCGTGAGCTCCTACCTTCCCCAGTCCCGGCAGAGGCGGATTCCTGCTCCTGTACCTCCCTCTCTGTCTGAGTCTCAGCATTCTGCAGCTGAGGTGCCAAGGTCTGGGTACCCTGCGAAGTCACAGAGGTGGGGGGGTTTCGGGGTTGCAGGCCTATGGCATTCATCAGGCCCATGTCCCTGTCTGTCCTCCACGTGGCTCTGCTGGTTCTGAAAAGAGAGAAAAACAGGTAAGACCAGGAGCATTGAAGGCAAAGAGCTCCAGCAAGACTGAAGCATCAACTTGAGCCTCTTCTTGCCTCCACTCCAACCAGGCATCTGCTAGTCAGTATGCAATGGGGCTGGAGGGAACTGTGCCCTGCACACACACAGACAACCCTCTCCAGCCTCAGCTGGCTGGTCCCTTGAGTTTTAAGCCAACAGAGTCTTGCAGTCCACTCACCCTTCCATGGAAGCAGCATATCTGACAGGCACAGACAGAGATCCCTGCAGCATCACTAAGCCTTCAGTACAACTCTGTCTTGGGGTCACTGAGTTGAGTAGGCAACAGGATGTGCAGCACAGGATCACAAACACACACACAACCTTTCTCTGAGTGTCAGCAGGATGGTTTTAACTCCCAAGGACACAGTCTGTATCCCTTCCCTTCTCTGGACCTCCTGGTTTGTCAGCATCACACATGAATGCACTCCAGCAGGCATTTCTGCCCGTTCCAGTCAGACAGGAGAAATTCTCTGTTCTCAAAAGCAAACAACAGGAACCACCTCAAGGCTCATTAGCTACTCAGAATCAAACAGTTGAGTGTACAATACTTCAAGAGCTGAATCTCAACAGTGCTTCGATGCTCCTTCCAAAACTGACCTCTGACTGTAAGTGCTGGGAATGGTAAAGAGATTCTAGAAAATATGGCTTCATTTACAACCTTTTTTCATAAAGTTTTGAAACCTGCCACACTTTGCTTGCTCTCTCTTTGAGCTAGTTCATTCTTGAACAATATTTTGCCTTCGAGCTGCTCCTAAGCCCATCAGGCAAGACTGACACGTGCTGTCGAAAACCATGAGTAGTGGCAATATCCACTCACGTGGCAGAATAAAGAATCTCTACGGCTTATTTTTCACCCTCAATCAGACCAAGGCTGTAGGACAGCACAGATAATGCCCTGTACACTAGCTCAGAACTCCCTTGGGATCCTGGAGCTCACAGTTCAGAAACAAGACTGTCACCCTCTTGCTGAGAAGAGCTGGCTTACAGAGAATACTCATCACTGGGGCAAGAAGCAATGCCCTGTAGCATCATCCTCATGTTTAGAATAACTAATCCGAGCATCACCAGACAGACTGGATGAAGCAGCCAATAGGGCTGTCAAGGGATTTAGCTGTATTTTTAGAGTTTATTGCTCAGAAATAACTGTTCCATGACCAGAAACTAAAGGGATGAAATCAGTCACCAGGACTGCCCGATGGATTTGCACTCATCTCTGTGAAACCCCCCATTCTTCGGTTACCCTCCAAAGGCCATTTACTTTGCATTGTGTTTTTGATGCATCAAGCACCACGTGTTCCTCCTACAGCTTGCTCATGGATGTTACAGAGACCATGAATGACATGTTAGTTCACTACCACTGGCAGCACTTTTGGGCACTGAATGTCACTTGCTGGAAGCAGGCAGGTGACCCAACTAGACAGTTATCAAAAGGTGGGGGGGTGGTAACTGCATATTTAAAGCAGCCAGTGCTAAAGGAACAAAGACGAGGTGGTGCTGTCAGATGTAACAAAAGCAGCAGAAAGGGCCAGGTCTCTCTAACCCACACCCAGGAGACTCACCCGGGCCGTTCAGTGCTCCTGCTGCTGGAATGCACAGTGAAGACGTTCTCATTCATCTGGTCCCAGTGGTACTCAACTCCAGAGTTTAAGGCCCTTGCAATACCAAAGAAGGAAAACATATTAGCATGAGAGGACACTATTCCAGCCAGCACACATTACATCCCCAAAACATGAGGGACAGTACTGATTCCTCCCTACAAAACTACAGGTCTAGCTCAGTTCACATTTTCATTTAAAGGGCTCATCACCATAAAGAGCCTTGCAAACACAGAGCCCTGTATTACCCAGATTGCTCTGGAATATTCCATTCATTTCAATTCAATATTAGCACCGAGGCACAGCAACAGGAGCAGAGAGATTTTCAGGAAATGAAGACATACAACTGTGTATATAAAATCAGGTTACCTTAACTCCAAGTGACTATTAAACAAAGAATTGGAATGGGAAGGCTCTCTCTGTGGTGCCTGCCAGCATTTCTTGCACTAGGTAATGTTAAGTAAAACACTGCTCTTATTTGACATTTAGGTTTTTTGTAAATGGTTCTCATTCTACCTATAAATAAATCTCTATACAGCCCTCTCACTGACAGTCACTGTGGAACAAGGGCAGATGTAGAGGATATGTTGACAAGTTTCCATAAAAGTGTTTGTACTGCTTTTTGTACTGGATCAACTACTTGTGTGTACAAAACATCCAAAACCACAAATTTTACAGCTAATGCTACTAAGTTTAACAGAGAAGCAAATGCTCTGGCAACCTTTCACAGTGCATTTCCCTAAAAGATACATGAAGCCAGGGCTGGCTAATCACAGGAACAGGCAAGGTTAACACTGTATAGCTACTTATAACATCATTGCTGAAGGCTACAGTCAATCACAAAACCTAAACCACCATAACCATAATGCTCTAAGTGTGTCTCCCACTATTTCTAAGGCCCAACAGTCAGACTGGAAGAGGGTAAGAGTGAATCCAGCTTCCCCTGTGCCCTACGGAAATCTCAAAGGACAGGCACACACTGTGCAGTCCAAGGCCGGATGGAGATCTCCCACCTCCAGAAGCACTACCATGGAAGAGACTTCCTGTTCAGTGTTTTGCCATGCTGACACGCCAGCTGCCATGTGTGAGCTGTGGGTTTCAAAACCAGGCTGTATATCACCACATGGCTGCTGGACTGCAGACATTTGACGGTGGTAGGTGGAGAGTTAAGAGCAAAATAGATCCTGTATACGCAGAAGGGAATTTTGTCTGAAGAGCTGGACCTGCATCACACTGCAGGCAGTCTCAGAGCATGAACTAAGGGTAGTCTCATAATCACAGACTGGTTTGGGTTGGAAGGGACCCTGAAGCTCATCCAGTTCCAACCCCCTGCCACAAGCAGGGACACCTTCCATTAGAGCAGGTTGCTCCAAGCCCCTGTGTCCAACCTGGCCTTGAACACTGCCAGGGATGGGGCAGCCACAGCTTCTTTGGGCCCCCTGGGCCAGCGCCTCAGCACCCCCACAGGGAAGAACTTCTTCTTCATATCTCATAATCCGAAGGAAGGATTCAAGGCAAGTAGTTAGTAGCTGGCTATGGCTCAGGCACAAACATGGTGTTTTACATACATGTAAAAGCTGTTGTCCCTGTAATGAGATGCCTCAGCAAAACTGGCAGGAACCACAGTTCAGAGGATGCTGCAGGTCAGACATGCTGCAATGGGAGTCCTGAGTGTGCTGGAGGCTTCGGGCTAGGCTGCTGGGGTGACAGCACCCTATGTTGGGATGTAGGGCAAGAGCTGGAGAAAATCAGGTCAGCAAAACCACACATGGAGCCTACAGGAAGGAATCAGTCACCACTTTTATTTGTGCTGAGCTGGGCCTGTGCTGCTTCCTGCCCCATGGAAGCAGCTGCCAGGGAGATGCTGATTTAGAAAGGCTTCAGTGTTAATTGTTCTCCACCCAGCACCTGTCACTAAACCCATGCCAGTCTGTCTGGCTGCTCCATCCCCTCTGTCTAATACACTGAGACTTGGCTGTCACACTCTGTTGTTTCCAAAGTAGCCCACTCCCATGGCAGTGGAGACTTTCTGACCTGGTAGTCAACATTTCCATGAAAAGCCTAGTTTGCTTTGGATCTGCAGCCATTACACAAGAGCTAAACTGACCCATGCTCTTCTCCCCCTCCTTCCATACTTCTTCACACTTTCCAAAGTACAGGCACGGTCCCCACAGCCACCTACATAACTATTATTCCTCACCAAGGTGCTCTGTGTGCCCTACTTGTCTTTGCCAGTTTGTCAGCTCCCAAGGCATGAAACCAGAAGACATCAAAGGCCAAAATGTGTGTTGGCACTACTGTGACTCCTGTACTGCACAGAAAGCTCAGCTCCTGCATGCACACACATACTTTGAGTTTGATTCATGTCACTTCTACAAAAGCACCATCGTACCAAGCTGATGTGCAGTACACCAGGTTAAACACTCCTGTCCCTGTGTTCCCTCCTATTCTGCAGAGGATCACTACTGTACAGTCGAGCTGTTGGATAGGAAAATCTGTTCTAACTCCGTGCTGTCAGTTTGTACCTTTCCCTGGATGGCCAAATCAATAGCCATTCCATTTAATACATGACTTTGCACATTGGCTTTAAATGCTGCCATTTATCAACTGAATTTCACTGCCAGAGTCCTATTTACTCATTTACTGACACAGAATCGAGGACTTTGCTTTCCTTTCCCAGAGGAGGATCTGTAGCAGCTGGTGCCACCACTCCCATTGCTGACTCTGGGAACACTGATGAACAGGCTTAAGCCGAGGTCACTACACTTGGCCATGATGGGAGTTCAACATCCTCAGCACCACATTAACTTGGCTTTTTAGACTGGACTGAGTGTGTCTCCCTGCAGGACCAGAAAAGTGGCTCAGAATAAACAGCTGGCACTCTCTACCTCAGCACAGTATTTGTTCTCTTCTGCATGCTTATGCACTTCTTTAATCTAGAACCCACATCTGCCTCTCCACAGCCCTAAGACCAATATCCAGCTTGCTCCCCATCGGGTCTTCCAGCCTTTGGATTGAGGCTGCAAAAGAGATGTTTCAGACTGCACCAAGGTACAGTGAGGAAAGCAAATATCTGAGTTTAACAGAGGGAACTGGTTGGGTGCTCTCTTTTATGCAAAGATCATCATTTCCCTTCTTAATAACAAAGATTTCATCAAAGAAATGCTGCTATTGTATGGATTGTCAGCTTGAAGACCATACCTGCGTTAGAAACTTGATCACATAATCACACCTTAAACCAACTCAAGTACTTGCTGTGGCAAGATGTGTGTGACAACCACGATTACCTTAGTTTAAAACAGATTTTCAATTAAGCTTCAAGATTTGCACTGGTTTAACCATACCTATTTAAAACAGTGCAATCTCCCTTTTTCAGAAAGCCTGAAGGTTTTTTAACTCCCATTGCAAAATATTGCTTGAATTTTGTAAATTAGCAAGCCTCACACAGTATGTTTCCCAGGAGATTTGCAAATCAAGGCCTGACTATTCATTTCACAGAAGCAGAGCTTACACTGGAGAAATGAATATTTTCAGGTGATGTAAGCATTTAACTTTTCCTCCATCAAACTCTAGACATGGAAATGCTGGAAGCATTTTACATTTTCCAAGGCATAGATAGGTAGAAGCTTTGTGTAGCATGGTCCATGTTGCCACTTGGATGTGGATGCAGTAAGGAGGACATTTGTTGCCCAGGGCTTTGGGGTGAAAAATTGCAATTCTCCACACTGTGTCAGTCATGGACAGTGAAGTCCACTTAGTCAAGTTCTTATTTACTTCCTTTTTATGGCTGTCACTAAGCTCTCTAAGCCCTCCCTGGAAATTTCCATTAGCTTTGTTAAGTGCAGAGCTGCTCACAGCTTGGCTTTCCCAGCAGGGGTCTGTTCTGAGATGGACTTTTCCTTCTTGACTGTGCCCAGCTCACATTATTAATGAGCTTGAAGAGGATGAAGGGCACAGACTTGCACGCTTTGCTGAAGGATGAAGAATGTTCAGAGTGGAGCCTGTTAAGTACCAAGAGTCACCAACTTAGGCAGCAGAGTCTCTCCATCTGCAGGGAGGTATTGCCTACACAGCTCAGGTATGCCCTCCTAAAGAAACTAGGACCAAGCTCTAGGATTTAAGGCCTAAATTATTCATATATGACAAGAAAGCTGAAATACGATTTACTGCATTGGCTTAACTGGTATTTGAAAAGTAAATTAAGAAAGCACAGGTCAGCACAAACCGGCTGAGACATCTGGGTAATCCCCCAACTGGCATATCCAAAACTGGGAGCTGAAGAGGAGGAGGGATTAGGACAAAAGTTCCCCAACTCCATCATAATAATGCAGCTCAGGAGCAAGATGGTAAGATAAAATCCCCATAATTTGCAAGTAGGGTATGCATGTCCAGGAAGGCATAAATGGCACTTACTGTCTTTTTAGTGGTTCCTTTAGAAACCACCCCCAATACTGAAAAAGGCAGCAGCAATGGGCAAATGCACTGCTCTGCTCCTTCAAATCCTGCCACACGGAAAGACCCACCAGTAGCACACTTGTCTGCTACAGCACTGACTTCAATTCTGATTAAGACACTGCAGTCTGCAGTATCGGCACAACCCTATTACCAGAATGAAGACTGTGGCAAGGTCGACATGCAGAAGACTACCTGCAAAGTGACACCATGCGGCATGCTCCTAGGTGAATATCTGATGTTCACACTGCCAAAGTTTGCTTTCTCCACAAAAGAAATTACTCTTTAAAGCTGATACACAAGGAAATATAGAGTGAGCTCCAGAGAGCAAGGTGACACTATGCTGAGGAACAGAAATCCATTGTCCTGGTTTGGGAAGGAAGCAGCAGCTTGCAGGATCTCACGCAATGCAATGCTCGGCCGGATCCCAGATGCATCCTTGTCAGCAGCTCATTATCTCTTATGCCGGTGTGTGATGATCAGCACAGCAAGCCCATCCCTGGCTCCCATGATTAGCTAGGCAACGGTATTGTCAGCACAAGGCAAAGTTTGGCACTCCTAGCAGCTGCCTGGGTAGGAAAACAATAATTTCTAACACGCTACTT